TGGTCGTGGGGCCTGAACTCTGGGCCTGGGCGCTGTCCCTCAGCTCTTCAGCTCAAGGTTAGCGCTGTACCACTTGAGGCACAGCGCCACTTCCGGCTTTTTTCTTTTTGCTTATGTGGTGCTGAGTTGAACCCAGGGCCTCATGCATGCAAGGCAAGCGCTCTACCACTGAGCCACCTTCCCAGCCCTCATTTTCATTTTCAACGTAATGTCTATGAATACCTCTACTGTATTTGTTCACCCTTTGTCCCCCTGCTTCTGTGCCTCCCTTTCCTTCCCAATTTGTTTCCATTTCCTAAAGTTCATTTTGATAAGTATTATTTTATATGATCAGAGACACATAGGCACTGAGCCTTTGTGTTCCTCCCCTAGAGTACCCTCCTTTGGTCTCACTGTATGTCTAGAGTCCTATATAATTTATCATTCAGTGTGACTAAAAAAATAATTTTGTTATTAGTAAGGTGTTTACAGAAAGGCTACCATTTCATACCATTTTATAAGTCAGGTTATAAGTACATTTATTTTTTGGACAATTTTACCATTCACCTACCCGTGGCTTGCCCCTAGGATCCCTGCCCACAAATACATAGGTCATTGTCCACTTTTCATTCAGTGTAGTATATGTACTGAATAGCATGAGTGCATTTGTTCACCTTTCCTTCCTCCCTTTCTGTACCCCCCGTTTAGTCCCTACCCTCCAGAAGAAAAGAGAAAACCATCAACACCAACAAAAAGCCCCATGTTTCTATTTCCTGGAATTTGTTTCAATAGTATTTTAAATGCTCAGAGTAGTTACACCTTTGTGGGTTTTTTGTTTGTTTGTTTGTTTGTTTTGGGGGGGTCGGCTGTGGGGCTTGAACTCTGTGCCTGGGTGCTGTTCCTGAGCTCTTCAGCTCAAGGATAGCGCTCTACCACTTGAGCCACTGCGCCAATGTTTCCTGGTGATTTATTAAAGAGCCTCACAGAGTTTCCTTTGCCTGGGCTGGCGTTGAACCTCGATCCTTAGATCTCAGCCTCCTGAGTAGCTAGAATTACAGGCGTGAGTCACCGGCGCCCAGCTCCTTTGTGGTTCTCAAATTTCAGCTTTATCTATTGTGGAAGGCCTGCTCTGGGATGCACTGATACTGTACATTTCAAAAAATTTGCTGATGCTGATGTCTGAAGACCATCCTTTGAAACTATTGCCTTACCGGAGTGTAGTTCTTACAGCTCCTCTGCGGAGTAACCAGCAGCAGAGTAAAATAAGAATAGGTCGAGCCAGTTACAAGTGGTTCATGCCTATAATAGTAGTTATTCAGGAAGCTAGGATCTGATTATTGGGGTTTGAAGCCAAGGAAAGTCCATGAGACTCTTCTACAAATTAACCATCAAAAAGATAGCCAATGCCGAGCGCTGGTGGCATGAGCCTAGCTACTTAGGAGGCTGAGATCTGAGGGTTGCTGTTGGAAGCCAGCTAGGACAGCAGTCTGTGAGACCCATATTGCCAATAAACTACTCAGAAATTGGTAGAGTGCTGTGGCTCAATTGGTAGAGCGCTAGCCTTAAGCAAAAGAAGCTGAGCTGACAGCACTCAGGACCAGAGTTCAAGCCCCCGCACTGGCACAAAAACAAAACATAACAAAACAAAAAACAAACCAGTTAGGCCAGGTGCCATTCAAAAGGCTAGGATTTGAGGATCACAGTTCAAAGCCAGATTGGGCAGAAAGGCTAAATCTGTGTGAGTCTCCAATTAACCACTAGAAAATCAGAAGTGGCATTGTAGTTCACAGTGGTAGAGTGCCAGCATTGGGCAGAAAAGAGCTCAGGGATGGTGGCCAGGCCCTGAGTTCAAGCCCTACGACCAGGAGCAACAACAACAAAGGATAACAAGAAGTAGAGATGTGGCTCATGTGGTGGAGGGCCAGTTTTGAACAGAGAAAGGTAAGCAACGTCGCCCAAACTCCAAGTTCAAGCCCCAGTGCATGTCACAACACACACACACGCACATGCACACGCACATGCACACGCACATGCACACAGTGGCTAGTCACAGTGCTTTAACTTGTAATCCCAGCTGCCCAGCTGCTCCAGAGGATAAGATACAGATGACTGCAGATTGAAACCAGCCCAACTGAAAAATTGATCAGATGATACACCCAATCTTAACCAATAGAAAAGCTGTGTGGGATGGTGTACGGTGGTCATCCCTTAGATGCAGTAAATTTAAACAAATGGACCCTGGTTCAGGTTTGCCAGAGCAAAGAGCAAAACTCTTATTTGAAAAATAAGCGAAATGAAGTGAGTCTAAGAGTAGAATGTCTGCCTAGTACTTGCAAGGTTCTTGTCAGCACTGATTGCCAAGAAGCAAACATTATGGTCCTTACAAGTTTGCAAAGTAAAATCTGTAACAGAAAACCGAGTCCTGATCAGGTGAGAGGAGGACACCAGAGGGCGCGCTTGCGCTCGTGCTCCTGGGCTGCTTCCGGTCACGCAGGCGCAGTGGGCCACGCGGGAGTCGCAGACCCTTGGCGCGATAGCCAGGGCAAGTCCCGGCTTCCAGGTAGGGCAGAGCGGCTGGCTGGTGCGGAGGCGGCGGTCGGGCGTCGCAGGGCGTCACCGGGCGGCAGGTGTGGGCCTCGGAGCAAGCAGGAGCTGATGGTAATACGGTGTCCTCAGGGTCTGCACCTGGCCAGGTCTGGTCGCCAGAGCCCAGGCCCAGGTTGGAGCTCCAGCCGCGAGCAGCCGCTTCTTGCGCTCCGCGCTGCGCGCCTCAGCTGGGCTGAGGACGGCTCTTCTGTGGTTTTTGTTTTTGATAGTGTCTTTTTCTCTTTTCTTCTTCCTCATGCTTATTTTTTGGCTTAGAAAAACCCTTAAGCTCCCCGCCTTTATCCTAAGCCTTGGGCCCCTCGCTCCAGAAATATGGTCAGCTGCGCCAAAGCATTCATAAAGCTGTTCCAAGCCCCGTTCCTATGACCAGAGCATTGCAGGTTTTAGAGGAGTATCCGAGGCCACCAAACTCATCGTTTCTGTTCAGTGAAACCACGTCCCCGTTGAGTCAGTTCTCTTATCTGAGAACTGGAATAATAACAGTTTATCAGTTTGAAAAATTGATTCGAAGTTGACACTAAAAATCAGTTGAGTTTTTGCTGAGAGCGAATGAGGTCGTTGAGAATTAAAAGGCTATTGAAATGAGAGCCAACAAGAGCTGTTATTAACCTTGCCTATTAAGGAGGGCTCATCATAGATTTGAATATATATATTACAGTTTTCTGCATAATTTTTTTTTTTTTGTCGGTCGTGGGGCTTGAACTCTGGGCCTGGGCGCTGTCCCTCAGCTCTTCAGCTCAAGGCGAGCGCTCTACCACTTGAGCTACAGCGCCACTTCCAGTTTTCTGGTGGTTTATTGGAGATAGGAGTCTCACAGTCTCTCCTGCCCGGGCTGGCTTTGAACCGCGATCCTCAGATCTCAGCCTCCTGAGTAGCTAGGATTACAGCCGTGAGCCACCAGTGCCTGGCAGTTTTCTGCATAATTTTGTAACTGATGTTAACTTTTAAAAACTAAGATTATCATTATTATGAGTTTCAACTCTTGGCTTAACTTTTTTGTTTGTAACTGGCACTCTATCACTTGGGCCATACTTCCAACTTTTGGCTTTTTACTGGTGAATTGGAGATAACTGTCTTGTATAGATTTGTCTGTCAGGCCGGCTTTGAACTGTGATCCTCAGATCTCAGCCTCCTGAGTAGCTAGAATTGTACATATGAGCCACAATGAGCCAGCTTGATGTTGGTATCTTTGAGTCTTTATTAGGCAGCTTTTACTGTAATGAAGACCTGAGATAAATGAGAAAAGATTTTTTGGATCATAATATTGTGGTAGTTGGCCTTGTAACTTTGGATCTGTATTGAGGTGTTGGCGGTGGTGGAAGTAAGTGGTAGAGTAGGCTGCTTTACCTCATGGTTCATGGAAGCAAAAGAGAACACAAAAAGGAAGAGAACCTCTCTAATAACATTTACTTCCTCTACCCTTTGGAGTATACTTACCCAAGCTATGACTGAAAATGAAAAAAGTGGAGCTCAGGTTATATGGATTTAGAGAATGTGGATTTATGTGGATTTAATAGATGCAGATTTGTAATGAAGCTTGTAGACTCTTATACAAATCTCTTGTAAAACCCTGTTAAATATAATAAATTCTCTACTCACATATGGGGATTTGCCATTATTAAAAATGTTAGACTTGGGCTGGGAGGGTGGCTTAGTGGTAGAGTGCTTGCCTTGCATGCATGAGGCCCTGGGTTCAATTTCCTCAGCACCACATAAACAGAAAAAGCCAAAAGTGGCACTGTAGCTCAAGTGGTAGAGTGCTAGCCTTGAGCTGAAGAGCTGAGGGACAGTGCCCAGGCCCCAGAGTTCAAGCCTCATGATTGACAAAAGAAAAAAAAAGTTAGACTATAGTAAGAGATACAAAAAAGAAGAGGAAGAGGAGGAGGAGGAGGAGGAAGAGGAGGGAGAGGAGGGGAAGAGGAGGAGGGCGGCAGATTTATTGAGTCTGAGAATGCCAGAGAAAAAAAACTGTGGCTTAGACCAGAAGGGGTAAATTGTGTGCTTGAACTCAGGTGCTGGGTGCTGTCCCTGAGCTTCTAGGCTAGTGCTCTACCACATGAGCTACAGCTCAACTCCTGTCTTTTTGGTAGCTTTGAACTGTGATCCTCTAATCTCAACCCCCTGAATAGCTAGGATTATAGGCACGAGCCACTAGAGCCTGACAGTTAGTGCATTCTTAACCAGTACTTGCTCTATGCCAGGCATGAGAGCACAGTTGGGGAGGGCAGATCAAACTCAGTTTAGAGGAAGAAGGATGTGGGAATCTGGGTCTTGGCATTCCCAAAAGGATGCTTTTGAACAGAAAAGAAAAGTCTGGGGCTAGGATGGGATAAAGAGAAATGTTTGAAAAAGTAGACCCTGGATGGGCTCCCCAGTGCCAAAAACAACCCCCTCCCCCACAAAACCTCACAGAAAGAGGAACAAAGTTGACAAAGCCAGGTAGATGATCATTATTTCATTTATTTTTCTTTTGAAATATTTCATTAAAGAAAAAAGATCTTATCTGCTGTGTGGAGAATGGATTGGAAAAGGAAGGAGACACTATACATCAGTAAACAGTTGAGAAGCCCAGGTGAGTACTGCTGATGGCTTGTACTAGAACAGAGGGATAGATGTGAACAGATAGGAGAGATTTGGGTGACAGAACTGGTTGTATGTAGTGCTTTCAAAGTCAAGGGAGGGAGGAATCAAGTTATCCAGGATTTTTACTTGAGTGGGAAGGGTGTCTATGAATCATAGAGTAAGAAGCCCCGGAGAAGGGTCCTGCTGGGGATGGTGGGAAATACTGAGTTTATCTGTAGACATTCTAGACCTTGAAGAGCCTACTGAGTGAAGCATTTCAGAAGAAAGATGGGAGTTGCAGTAGAGACTTAGAAATAAAAGCATTTTAGAAGGCCACTAAAGCCAATGCAGAGAGACAGGCTTGCTTGCTTCCTTCCTTCTTCCTTTCTTCCTTCCCTCCCTCCCTCCCTCCCACCCTCCCTCCTTTCCTACCTTTTTTGCTCAAGACTGACATGAACTTGGTTATTTTACTTTTTTTTTAAAATTTAATTTAATTTGTGAACATACTGTACAGAGGGGTTACAATTACATGGACAGGATAATGTGTACATTTCTTACCAAGCATTGCAGCCTCCTCCTTTGTTTACCCTTCACATCCCTTCCCAGCCTCCCCCCTCCCCCCCAATCCCAATCCCCCACCCCCCACCCTCCTCCCCCCCCCCCCCCCCGCACCGACATTGTAAAGCTCGTTTTGGACATGACAACTTGTACTTTACTTTTTTATATGTGCTAGGACTAGGGCTTGAATTTAGGGCCTGGGTGCTGTCCCTTAGTTTTTTTTTTTTTACTCAAGGTTGGCATTCTACCACTTGAACTACAGCTTTCCTTCTGACTTTTTGGTGGTTAAATGGAGGTAAGGGTCTCATGGACTTTCCTGCCCAAGCTGGCTTTGAACCGTGATTCTCAGATTTCTGCCTCTGGAGTAGCTAGGATTACGTGGTTACTTTAACTATTCTAAATATAGATGGACTGGACAAGACTTTAAGAGTACCTTTCAAGAATCAGGTGCATGTGGAAGAAGCTTTGGAGACTGAAGTCTGAGTGATGAAAGTTGTACAGTTTCAGTTGAAGTCTTTGATGATGTGAGGGAATAAACTGAAGAGAGATGTGGGCCTGGAATCTTTATGAGAAAGGTGGGAAACTTGATCATTATGAACACTGCAGATATCTCTAGGAAGTGAGAAGGTGGCCTTACTTAGGCAAGGTTGGCTGGACAGTGAAGCTAAAGCAATTGCATAATTGTTTTCCTAAGCACCTATTTTTAAATTTTTTTTTTTTTTGTCGGTTGTGGGCCTTGAACTCTGGGCCTGGGCGCTGTCCCTCAGCTCTTCAGCTCAAGGCGAGCGCTCTACCACTTGAGCTACAGCGCCATTTCCGGTTTTCTAGTGGTTTATTGGAGATAGGAGTCTCACAGTCTTTCCTGCCCGGGCTGGCTTTGAACCGCGATTCTCAGATCTCAGCCTCCTGAGTAGCTAGGATTACAGGCGTGAACCACCAGCGCCCGGCTAAAAATTTTTATTTTTCTGCCAGAACTAAGACTTGAACTCAGGATCTGGGAGCTGTCCCTTAGCTTTTGCATTCAGGAATAACACTCTTACTACTTCAGCCACAGCTGCACTTCTGTCTATTTTTTGGATGGTAAATTGCAGATAAGATTCTCATGTACTTTACTGCCCAGTCTGGTTTTGAACCTCCATCCTCAGATCTCAGCCTTCTTAGTTTAGCATTACTGGTATCAGCCACTGGTACTCAGCAAGAATCAATTATTTTTGACCCTTAGCCACAGCCTGGAAACTGGAAGGAGAGAGCCCTCATTTTTTAATTTATATGAGTTCAATAATGGGAGCAAAAAAGTAGTTTTTCTGGAAAAGATTTGTGAGCTTAGGTGATATTTTTTTTAATTTAATTTTATTTTTATTTATTTTTTTGGTCCAATCGTGGGGCCTGAACTCTGGGCCTGGGCGCTGTCCCTCAGCTCTTCAGCTCAAGGCTAGAACTCTACCACTTGAGCCAGAGTGCCACTTCTGTTTTTTTTCTTTTTGCTTATGTGGTGCTGAGGAATCGAACCCAGGGCCTCTTAGGTGATATTTTTATCTTTTAAGATGGAAATATAAATCTTATGCCATAAAATTACCATTTTAAAGCATATAATTTAGTGATTTTTAAATGTATTTACAAGATTGTGCAACCATCATTACTGTCTTTATTGAACAAGGAATTACATTCTCATAAGTAGCTATTGTTTATCTTCCTGTTCCAGTAAATTGTAGAAGCCCCTAATCTGTTTAGTGATTATATGGTTTTGCTTATTCTGGGCATTTTATGTAAATAGACTTTTACAGTGACTAGCCTTTTTTTTTTCTTTTTCTTTTGGGTCCAGTCGGGGGCCTGAACTCTGGGCCTGGGCGCTGTCCCTCAGCTCTTCAGCTCAAGGCTAGCGCTCTACCACTTGAGCCACAGCGCCACTTCTAGCTTTTATCTTTTTGCTTATGTGGTGCTGAGGAATTGAACCCAGGGCTTCTTGCATGCAAGGCAAGCACTCTACTACTGAGCCACCTTCCCAGCCCCGTGACTAGCCTCTTTAATTAAGTATATGTTTTTTGAAGTTATCCCTGTTGTAGCATGAATTGGTGCTTTATTCTTTTTATAACTGAATAATTTTCCACTTAATGATATAGCTTATTTTACAACCTAGCTCATGCGTTGGTATATATTTGGATTATTTCCACCATTTGGGTATTCTATTTCTTTTTTTAAATCGGTTGTGGGGCTTGAACTCTGGGCCTGGGCACTGTCCCTGAACTCTTCAGCCAAGGCAAGTGCTCTACTACTTGAGCCACAGCACCACTTCTGGTTTTCTGGTGGAGATAAGAGTCTCATAGACTTTTCCTGCCTGGGCTGGCTTTGACCTGTGATCCTCAGATCACAGCCTCCTGAGTAGCTAGGATTACAAGCATGAGCCACCTGTGCCTGGCTTTGGGTATTCTAAATAATACTGCTTTGACCATACATGTATTAAGTGTTTGTGTCAATGTATTTTGAGTTCTCTTGGGCATATTCTGAGCAGTAAAATTATTGTGTAATAGATTACCTGTATTTAGCACAGAAATAACAGATAATTTTCCACAGAAGCTTCATTTTACATTTTCCTTAGCATTGTATAAGGATTATAATTTCTCCACATCTTCATAAACATTCCTTGTCTGATTTATTTTTATTATAATCACCATGGGTAGATATGAAGTAGTCTATCATGAGAAGTATCTCATCACAATTTTTTTTCCAGGTACTGCAGTTTGAACTTAAGGCTTTGTACTTGCTTGGCTTGTTTGTTCAGTTGGTACTGTAGCACTTGAGCCATGCCCCCATCTTGGTGTTTTTGCTGGTTCTTTTGGAGATGGAATGTTCTTTTTTTTCTTTTTGGTCTGAGATTGGGACTTGAATTTGGTACCTAATGCTTTCACTCATTGGCTAGCTTTCACTCATTGACTGGTGCTCTATCAACAGAACCATGCCTCCAACCTCTGGAGATGGATTCTTGAAGATTTTTCTTTTCAGGCGGACTGTGAACCATACTTATCTGGGTCTCAGTCTCCTGAGAGTTTGTATTACAGCTACTGGCACCTGGTTTTATTTGCCTTGATGGCAAATAAAATCGAACATTTTTTCATGTGTTTGTTGGTTGTCTGGATGTTTACTTTAGGGAAATGCCTATTCAGGTCCTTTAACCATTCTAAAATAGTTAGATTTTTTATTGCTGAGTGAAATACTTTTGAGTTGTCCATCAGATATCCAAAAGTAAAGAAAGCAAACCTTGACTTCTAGGAGAGGCTAGGATTGAACCTATATTTCTGGGGCCCATCAGCAGGTGGAGATGGAAAGCAAAGAATCTGGTGAGCTCATGCAGAGTGAATGAAGAGGTCTAAGGTCCAAGCCTGGAAGACCTGGCACCCAGAGAGATGAGAAGGATCCTCCAACAGTAGTTTCCTGGAAACCAAATAAGGGAAGTGCTTTAAGTAACATGGACTACTTGCTGACTGGTGAGGTGTTTGGTCAGATAAAATCAGTTTGTGAGTGGGCTAGCAGTGTGGTGTAGAAGAGAAGACAGCCATGGAGAGAATGGGTTTGGGTACTGTGATGGAGTTTGCTGAAAAGGAACGAGAGGTAGGACAATAGTTGAAGAGGAAAAGTGGATATTTTAGATAAGGCAGAACTCCTGGCTTTCCGGTAGTGTCGCAGAAGGAGAGAGCTACTGGAGCAGTGATTTCCTAAGCCAGGAGGAAGTCTACTTTTGTTTTAGCAGGAGTAAAAGTAGTGTGGGAACTTGCAGAAATGCTCTCTGATTGCTTCTATGTTTCAGTGAAATGAGAACCAAGATCATCAGCTGAGAGTAAAAGTGGGGAGGGGCCAGTGTAAGTTTGAAAAGAAATGGTGACCTGGTCCAGCTGAATGCCTTGTAAAAACTAACCTCTTGGGCTTATGAGATCCTTGCTGAGACTGCCCACCAGTGGGGCTTGGATGTTGCAAAGGGAAAGAAAGGGTGGCAAAATTTTGGAGGATGGAAAGTTTAAATGAAGTAGTAGGTTTTTTTTCTTTGTTATTGTTGTTTATGCACTTCACACTAAGTAGGGCTGTGTAGAAGGAGTTAAGATCAAGTCTGGGTGAGAACAAACAGACAACACAGGCTGCTGAGAAATCCTGGGACCCTAATCCCACACTAGCTGACAGGTTTTGGTGGCAGTGGCCAGGCTAAGGACTGTTCTGTGGCTTCTGCATCACCCTGGAAGGCAAGAGTCTGAGGGATACCAGGCTCCAGCATGCCATGGGAAAAGTGAACTATTTGGACTTCTTCTGTTCTTTATTTGTATGCAGAGTTGCATTTTTGTTGTTGTTGTTTTATTTTTTGTCGGTAGTGGGGCCTGAACTCTGGGCCTGGGGCATTGTCCTTCAGCTCTTCAGCTCAAGGCTAGCACTCTACCACTTGAGCTTCAGCACCACTTCTGGATTTTTTTTTTTTTTTTTGCTTATGTGGTGCTGAAGAATGAACCTAGGGCCTCTGTATGCAAGGCAAGCACTCTACCACTGAGCCATCTTCCCAGCCGAGTTGCATTTTTTTAAAACAACATTTTAACAGCATTAAAAAAAAAACAACAAAACCTCCTTTTTGGTATTTTGAACAGAGGGCTTTCACATCAGCCCCTGGGACCAATCAAGCACTGATCAACTCAGATATCTGGATAGATACCTAGCTGGGTAAAAGAAGACGCTCCTAGAAGGTAACTGTACACATCTCAGGGCAATTCTATCCCTACTGTTCTTGTCTCTCGCAGTGCTGGTGATCAGCTGGCTGCACCTTCACATTGCATGCTTCTATTTCTATTTCATGAGCACCTGCTCTGAGGGAGCAGGTCTCACTCTGAGAGAGAAGCACCCTCTGCCCAGGGTGCTCCTCAGGCCTGTCCCTGTCCAGATCCCTCCATGACAATTCTAAGGTAAAGATTCCAGCCCAGTTCTGGAATCTTTGGTTATCTACTGCTAGTGACACCTGAGTTACCTTTCCCAGATTCATCACCATTATTCTACCTCAGGAATTTGTCCACTCTTGCCCATGATTATTGCCAGTGTGTCCCAAGTACAGGCTGAGCTTCAGTCTTTTGGACTCCCTTTCATTTCTTTTCTTCTTTTTTTTGTCGGTCATGGAGCTTGAACTCTGGGCCTGGGCGCTGTCCCTCAGCTCTTCAGCTCAAGGTGAGCGTTCTACCACTAGAGCTACAGCGCCACTTCCGGTTTTCTAGTGGTTTATTGGAGATAGGAGTCTCATGGTCTTTCCTGCCCGGGCTGGCTTTGAACTGAGATTCTCAGATCTCAGCCTCCTGATTAGCTAGGATTACAGGCATGAGCCACCTTGGCCTAGCCCCCTTTCATTTCTGCTACAGAGTAATTTTGTTTTGTTTTGCTATGCTGGGGATGAAACCAGAGACTTCTTCATGTTCTACCACTGAGCACATTCCTTGCCTGCTCAGGTAGGAACATCCTAACTGAGATCAAGAGGCCTCTACTTACTACCCTAACTAAGAGACATTCTGCTTCTACAGTAAATATTCATGAATAACTACTTAGTGTAAAATACTATAGATGAGATAAAGTCAAACATCAGCATCTTGCTTCTAGCCTAATCTAATTTGAATGAATCCAAAATTTAGTTTGTAATCAAGAATACTTATTATGGAAGTGGCTGACATTGAGCCTAATCAGACCTCCCTTTTGCCAAACAGTGATTCCAAAGGTAACTGAACTTGTGAGTGTATGAGGCATGAGAGAGGCGATCATTTTTAGACTGCCTTCTGTGTCATCCAAACTCCTTCATGGAAATAAAGCTGGACATTGTCTGTAATTATTATTACTCCTTGTTGCCTACTGTATTCTAGGAGCTGACACTGGATAACAACATGGAAAGGAATCCTCAGGAGAGCAGGAAAGGTCTCACCCACAAAGCAGTCCCCCGGGTTGTTGGCCTGCTGCTCGCCGTGGCCCTCATGAATGTGCTTCTTTACCTCTGCCTCAACCAATTTTTCATTTTCCCTCAACGATCTACTGAGGATCCCAGGTCATGTCCTTATGGTTACTTCAGAATGGGACAGATGAAAGACTGCTCACCTTGGCTATCCTGTGAGGAGCTGAGGACAGAAGTAAGGCAGTTAAAGTGCATTGGGGAAGGAGCTGTGAAGAGAGTAAGTATGTCTATTATTGATTGGTGTTACCTCTTTTTTTTTTTTTTTTGTCAGTCCTGGGGCTCCAACTCTGGGCTTGGACACTGTCCCTGAGCTCCATTTTGTCCAAGGCTAGTGCTCTATTATTTGAGCCAGTGTGCTACTTTTGGCTTTTTCTATGATTAATTGAAGACAAAAGTCTCATGGACTTTCCTGCCCAGGCAGGCTTCAAAGCTCAGTCTTCAGATCTCAGCCTCTTGAGATTGGTTTATCATCTTTTGGGGAGAGTGATTTAGCTTTCTGTGCTATGAGCCATAATAAGCCTTTGTGGTGATGGGCACCTTAGTCCCAGCTGCGCAGGAAGCTGAAGGAGGAGGATCATTTGGGCTTAGAACTTTGAGCCTAGCCTGAGCAATATAGTGAGTCTGGTTCAAAAACAACAAAACAAAAAGCCAGAAATTACTAGATTCTAGGTCATGTTTAGCCTAATAAGGTACTCCAAAGGTGGGCGGGGTGTGTGTGTGTGGGGGGGTGGGTAGGAGGGAAGCTACATGTATAAAAGAACACTATACTAATAGAAAACCAGTACAGTAACTTTAGAGTTTAATTACATTATCTTCCAATCCTCAGTGGAATATTTTGTAGTCATTTACTGTAATTAGGAACCTATGTGGCCGCAGGAGGTAATGTGAGATAAAAAGTGTGTCTTAGGGCTGGGAAGGTGGCTCAGTGGTAGAGCGCTTGCCTTGCATGCATGAGGCCCTGGGTTCGATTCCTCAGCACCACATAAGCAAAAAGAAAAAAGCCAGAAGTGGTGCTGAAGAGTGCTAGCCTTGAGCTGAAGAGCTGAGGGACAGCACCCAGGCCCAGAGTTCAGGCCCCACGACCGGACTCCCTCCCCCCCCCCCCCAAAAAAAAAGTATGTCTTAGCTGGACACCCGTGGCTCATGCCTGTAATCCTAGCTACTCAGGAGGCTGATATCTGAGGATAGAGGTTCAAAGCCAGCCTGGGCAGGAAATTCCGTGAGACACTTATCTCCAATAAACCATCAGAATACCGAAGTGGTGCTGTGGTTCAAGTGGTAGAGCACTAGCTTTGAGCTTAAGAGCTGAGGGACAGCGCCTGAGTTCAAGCCCCATGACTGACCAAAAAAAAAAGTGTGTCTTGTTTTCAATTTCAAAATTACATATTTATGTAGAAAACTACAAAAATGACAGAAACTGTGAAGGGATTATGAATAATTTATTTTTTTTCTTCAGTCCCGGGACTTGCACTTGGTCTAGGTGCTCTCCCTGAGCTCTTTTGCTCAAGGGTAATGCTCTACCACTTGGAGCCACAGCTCTACTTCTAAATAATTTCTTCTTGTTTTTCAACCTAAAATGATCATTTTTCCCTCACCAAAGGGTGAATCCAGTCCTCAAAGTTCCTAGAGCCTTTTACTCATTGCCAGCAAGTATGTGCGTTACCTCATGTGGTCATTGTTTCTATGAAAACTTGAGGCCTATTGACCAGTCAGTGGCTATAGCAGCCAGCTAAGGATTATGTTCTTGTGTTTTACTGGTTTAAAGACTGGCAAAAGGCAGGGAGAGAAAAGGAAATATACCTTTGGAGTTGTAGCTTGATGTTGCAGCTTTTGTTGAGGAAACAAGGAACCCACGTCTGCTTCTTCCTGAATGTGGACAGATGTCTTTTAAATAAAGTATCATTTGTTTGTGCCAGGCACTGATGGCCTGTATCTCTGTAACCTATCTATTAGGAGGCTGAGATCTGAGGATCTGGTTTGAAGCTAGCCTGGGCAGGAAAGTTCATCAAGCTACCACAAAAAGCTGAAAGTGGAGCTATGGCTTAAGTGGTAGAGCACTAGCCTTGAACAAAAAAGTTCAGGGACAGCTCCCAGGACCAGACCAGCTACCAGGACAACTGCACTGTGTGCGCGTGCGCGTGCGCACGCACACACACACACACACACACACTAAAAAAATGATTTGTCTATTTTTGAGATCAGGACTAATTATGTAGCCCAAGATGGCTTTGAACTCTGAGTGCTGGGATTTCAGGCATGTTACCACTATGCCTGGCTGTATACAGAGTACTTTTTTTTTTTGGTTGGTCATGGGGCCTGAACTCTGGGCCTGGGCACTGTCCCTCAGCTCTTCAGCTCAAGGCAAGCACTCTACCACTTGAGCCACAGCACCACTTCCAGCTTTTTCTGCTTATGTAGTAGAGGAATCGAGCCCAGGGCCTCATACATGCAAGGCAAGCACTCTACCACTGAGCCACCTTCCCAGCTTTTTTTTTTGTTGTTGTTGGTAGTGAGGCTTGAACTCTGGGCTTGGGCACTGGCCCTCAGCTCTTCAGCTCAAGGCTAGCGCTCTACCATTTGAACCACAGTGCCACTTCTGGCTTTTTCTGTTTATGTGGTGCTGAGGAATTGAACCCAGGGCCACATGCATGCAAGGCAAGCACTCTACCTCTGAGCCACCTTTCTAGCCTGACAGAGTTACTTTTTTAAAGGAAGGATCCAGTTAGGAAGAAGTGATAGGAATGTATATAAAGTATTTTTCTCATTGTAGGGGTTGTAGGTGCATCAGTGATAAAAGCAAATATGCTGTCTTTTTTTGCTAGTGTTTGACTCTTGGAGAGTCAAAATTTAAAAACCAAATATATAATATGATATGTTAGTATTATGTTAATGAAGACAATGCAGGACAAGGCAAAAGAGTAGTGGGCATGTTGCTATAGGTGGTCAAAGGAGGACTCTGACCAGAGGGACATGAGACTATGAGATGAGAATGTGGACATCTGGTAAGAAAGATAAATCTGAGAAGATGCGAAAAAGGCAGTCTACCTCATAGTTTCAGGACCAGGAAGGACATCCGTTTTAACCAACCAGTAGTGAGGAAGAAAAAATCACTGGTACATACTTGTTTTCTTTTTCTTTTTTTTTTTTTTTTGTGCCAGTCCTGGGGCTTGAACTCAGGGTATGGACACTGTCCGTTAACTTTTTTGCTCAAGACTGGTTCTCTACTATTTGAGCCACAGCTCTACTTTTGCCTGTTTGCTGATGAAGTGAAGCATCTCACAGACTTTACCACCTTGGCTGGCTTTGAACCATGATCCTTAGATCTCAGCTTCCTGAGTAACTAGGATGACAGGTGTGAGCCACTGGCATCTGGTTTTGATGCGTTTTGAATTGATTTTGGTACAGGGTGAGAGAAAGGAATTTTCAATGTATCTTCAATGCTGAAGGCATCATACTGGGCTTCAAATAATACTGCAGAGCCACAGTAACAAAACCAGCCTGGTAAGTAACACATAGACAGAACTGTAGACCAGGAGAATAGAACACAGGGCCCTAAAATAGCCTTACACAGCAGTAGCCATCTGATTCTTAAAGGAGTTGCCCACAACATACAAATGCTATTGGGAAACTAGATATCTCCACATGTAGAAGACAGAAACTAGATTCCTATCCTTTTTGCTAAGAATTTCTTTGGCCACTTGAGGGTTTTTGTGCTTCAATACTAATTTTTGGATTGATTTTATTTTTTCTGTGAAGAATTTCACTGAAATTTCAATAGGAGTTATGTTGAATCTTTCGGTTGCTTTTGGTATTATAGATACTTTTACAATATGAGTTCTTCCAGTTGATGAGCATAGGAGGTCTGATCATCTTCCAGGATTGTTAGGATTCATATCTGTTTTTCTTTTTTCTTATTTTATGTTTTCTCCTATGTCACAGGGATTGAACATGCCAGGCAAGTGCAGTACCACTAAGCAGTGAGCTAATCCTAGCCTTTTTTTTTCTTCCAGTGTATTTTTAAGTATTATAAGGCAGTTAGAGGTTACTTAGAAATTATTCTTATCTGTGATTTGCAAATTTTTAACGAGTGGTATCAAATAATTGTGATTCCTCAAAAATTAACTGTTTAGTAATAAATGATATTTAGTAGTCTAATAATAAATAATATTAATAGTCTTTCATTTATCTGAAGTCCAAGAATGAATTCAACATGAATAAGGTCAACCCTTATTTATTCAGAAGTCATGAGGTGTGGTCATACTCCTTTTACCACTTATTATTGAATATATAGAAGCAGCTTCTTTGAAGAAATTTTATTTTATGTGAAAAGTGGGTCAGACCAAAACCATCTGCTTATATTAGTGATCACTATGTAGAGTAGGGTCAATTATTGCATTCTGTAGTGGTACAAATCTAATGAAGAGATTGTAGTCAACATGAAAACATTTTAAATATATGAATTTTTTATTGAACATAATTGCTTTTTAAATGGAGATTATGATAAATAGTGAAATTTCTCAGATTGAGTGATTTGAGATCTTGAAAGATTACTCTTTTGAATATGAAGAGTCAACTGTAGTTATCCAGGTTTATCCATAATGAACCTACCTTCTTAGGCATTTGATGTCCTCTAACCTATTTTTATTTTATATAGTAATTTGGAGTTTTTTTTGGGGGGGGGTCCATTAGGAGGGCCTGAACTCAGGGCCTGGGCGCTGTCCCTCAGCTCTTCAGCTCAAGGCTAGCGCTCTACCACTTGAGCCACAGCGCCACTTCCGGCTTTTTTCTTTTTGCTTATGTGG